TAGGCGGCAAAGTTCAAAGCCATACCCTAACTAATTTTGATATTGGGAAACAAAAACTCTTTACATTCTTGAACTATTTTAGTGTTCTTGGGTTTAATTTTTTGTATTAGCTAGTATTCCCATGGTAGAGTATGGAACATCAGTACATGTTATATTTCACAATACTATGCACTAAATTGGCCTCCACAGCTAGTTTATCATAATTATGTCTTATCATTAAATGATCTACCGAATTCTTAAATACGCTTGTTAATATACATTGTTATTACCCAGGTCAATTTTTAACACGCTTTTATATTATACATTGTATTACAGTTAATTTTTAAACACAATTACACAGATCTACAGGCCATTTGAAAATTAAACACATACATAACTAATTGCTTACGTCTGCAAAAAACATCACGAAAGTGCTCCTTTTAGACGCAGCATATTATTGCTCAGATCCGATTCTTTGCCTCCTCGTCAGATGAATCAGCGTTCGTCGAGGCTGTCGGTTGTCTGACCCGTCAGCAATGGGCTGATTGTCGCAAACAGTCCAAGTTTACACATGTCGGTATCATTTCCAAGTCCACTGGCAAGGCCAAGACACAATTGGTAGCTTGCAGCTGCCTGGAACAATTACAGGCCAACAAATCCAGAAGGAGGCTGAGGTGCTCGCTGTCCACTCATCAGCTCACAGCCCAGAGTGTTCATCCCGATCATCCCAATTCCATCCCTTTCCAACTGAGCATAGGCTCATATTGTGTCTCTGAAGGCTTCGCTTTCGCCAAATTGCTGCTGCGTAATTGGCGCTCGCGACGGTTTTGGAAGCAGTCATTGCCATCGGAGGCCAATTGGTTGGCTTCTCAATTCCCCTTCTTCGCACACGGAATAGATTGTATGAAGGCTATTAAGTTTCCTTTGTACCAGACCTTCGGGGCGAATTATAGGAGCATGTGATAGTTCCCAGCTTATCATAAGCTCACGGCCACTCTCCATTCTTGTCCCAAACTCGCGCGAACGTTTCTTGCGACCTCTTTGCTAGACCTAAGCCATTTTAAGCGCTCTCTAAGTTTGCCTTTGCCTGCAAATGTGCTGACAGTGTTGCAACCTGCGTAAGCAATGCAATCCTATAATCCATGACAAACATCTGCCGCCCACTGAAGCTGCAATTTTTTGGTTAATGTCAATGAATTCGTTTCCGACTTTGGTGCCAAATGTCTGGAACAATGGTGATTGAATTTGAAGTATGAAAACGCCAACCGCATGATGGAATACTCGGTGTCATGCGGAGTGATTTACAACTGCTGGATATCAGTCTGTGACAGCATGAGCAGCGTGAAGTAGAGAGTCGACCATCGCTTCCTTGTGTGTACTTGAAAGCTCAAGCAACCTCCTGCGTGTCCTTCCTGGTGTTTGTAACACGTGTTTCAGTTTTACAATAAGACCTTTCCATCTCAGACGCTTGGTGTAATCATGGCTTTCCTCCATTCGCTCACCAGAATGAAATGAGGCTAGACTTATTCCCAACAGGGGCCAAGAAGCTTCTCCATTGCCTTACAATTTCTGCGATGTGTGATCAACCCACCACGTTCTGAAAGCATCAGGCAAGCTTCCTCTCCTCATGGCGAGCCTTTCACAGTCTGATGGAGCTATCTTTGTAGGTGTTCGGAAGACCGATGTCGATCCTGCTCACTTAGTGCTGCGCATCATCAGATGCCATGGACAAAACAAAACTGGCGGCCCAATTTCCTCAAAGTTGCACTGGATCCCTTCTTCACCTTCTTGGAATTTATGCTCATTCGCGATCATTATTATGGGTGCGCCAGAATGATCAGGAAGTTTGTCAGCTGGCGCATCTTTTGTAGATAACTAGCAAGAGCCAGGCCTGTTGGTTTTACAGTGAAGACCTTCTGGCGGTTGCCCAGTGCCATGGTAATGAGAGCGCGAAGAGACTGATAGCTACATCAGCCATTTGCCAGATTTCGTTGCCTGTGCCCATCACAATGCCATGCGACCAAACAATGTCTGTCACCTTGAAGAAGCGCGGATCTGCCACTCATCTGGACTTTTTTCTTCTTGCCCATAAATTGCTGAAGGTCCTTCAAGTTTGGTTCATATTCATGGGATCAGAAAAGCGTTTGGTTGGTGGGTCCGTCTCGAGTCTCTCAGCTTGGAGTCGTGCTAGCATTGAAATTCCAATGTCTCTGGCATATCTTCAATCCGAAAGCCAGATATCTTTGCAGTTTTTTTTTTGCTGTCGAGATACTGATAAGTGCGGTGGGCCTTCTTCAAATGGATTTTACCCAGCTCTTCACCCAGATGTACGATTGTCGAAACAGCATCCTCATCTTTCCGTCACACGCGTCTTGTGCAGTCAGCATGTGGAACATTTGATCCTTCTTCATGTACCATTCCATCATCATCTTGACCAAGAAAGGCCCTCCCTGGTTCTGAGTAATGTAATAGCACGGTTGACTGCTCCTGCATTTCAGACTAACCTTGTTGTGCCTCCTGGCAGTCTGTGTGTCCTTGTTCACCCCAGTGGACTTCAGTCCGTTTGGGTTAACGGGAATGGCAGTACCCAAATGTATTGTGACAGGATCAGTGTTGAACAGAGAACCAAAACCACTCAAGAAGACAGGCCTGTACACGGCCTGGATGATTGGTTGCCAGATTGGTCATCTCAGCATAATACGCTGGTAGGTATCGTGCTAGGGTTGGAATCTGCTCGTATGCCAAAACACCCAGGGGATCATGTTGGACAGCACAAGGGAAAATGGCACGGGGGAACCCCCAATTTTTCCCCTTGAGCACGCACGCAGCAGGGCAAGCAAGACGTTTTCAACTATTCCACATAAGACATCTCAAAAGGCTGAGCAATTCTCACGTTTTTCATGAGCGAAGATAGGCCTAAGAATTCGTTCCAGGTGAGTGACTAACCCGTGTATTTGGCGGTTTGCCAGAAGACTGTTCAAATTTCTGTGTCACCAACATGTTCGACCAAATCACTCATCTTCTGACAACTAGCTTATGTTGTGACTTTTCTTCTCGTTTGTTTTTCTCAACCAATGCGAATGGAATGCCTTCCATGTATGCTCTCATGAATGCTTCCATACACAAACTTGGCATAACTACACTGCCTCGGATTGTAATCTTCCAAGAAACACACTGGCAAGGTGACCATTCTTGTGAAAGAATATGACGAGAAACGGGCCAATGTGAATTTTGAAGTCAAAGCGATTGCTCAGCCACTTTTCACTAAATTTAACATATTTTTAGTCATTATATCAAAAGCATGTATTGTGAAATATAATGTACCTGATATTACATACCTACCATGGAATACTAGCTAATACCAAAAAATTAAAACCTAAAACCTAAAATGTTCAAAATCTATGTTTTTGTTCAACTATCAAGAATTACGGGGATATGTTGAACTTTGCCAGATATGTGCCACAAACAACCACCATATTACAAAGTAATGATATATTCCAATGCAGTGGGTCCTTGTGAAGTTTTGATTGGGTAATATGTTACTCTGGGAGTTTTCATTGGAATTATTGACAGAAACGTGCAATGTGAATTTTGAGCAGTCAAAGCGATTTCGGCCACTTTTTCACTAAATTTAACATATTTTTAGTCATTATATCAAAACTTTGACAAATAACCCCCACAAATGTTCTATATTTTATTACTATATTAGTTGGCATCCAGTATGCAACAATGATTGGCACTCTGTGGTCCTTAAAAAAATATTTATTCCAATTTTACCAAAACACATATTTTGGCGAAGCGAAAGAAGGGGTATAATACTATTTCGGGTGATAACACAGAGATGGCCGAGAGTTATACACTGCTATCACATTTTTTCCATATCTAGGGACATATATCTTGCTAAAAATCACAATGAGCCTTACTCCATCTGTATGGTACCGACCAACCCCCTTGGCTCATAGCCTATAACCATTGATACTCTCAAGGTTTTAGGAAAAATGTTACCGATTTTTCATTTTCAACTTTATTCAATGGCTAACACTATGTGCCACCTTGTGTACATGCTCATTTCTCCATATAACGAACGGTACATGTGAACTGTCAGAGCGTTTTTCTTGCCCGCTGCAGAATGCGGAAATTAAGCCTAGAAATCGTAATGATTCCGCAGAATGAGGAATGGTTGGAGACCCTGGTTATGTCTCTTTATTCGCTAAATTTTAAATTCGAACGCGACTTGAATTTTAGGCAGTTTTTTTAATTTTTCTCGGTAAATATGAAACTTAAAGAAAAATCCTGATGCACTATTTTGGTACATATTGTGCTTAACATGTGGCGAAAATTTTGTATCCTCACTCTTTCTGGTAATTGAGAAATATTCAAAATACCATTTTTACATAAAAATTCAAAATTTGTGTGGTAACATAATTAGGTGCTGAGAATTTCATGAAATTTTTTGCCTTGAGCATAGAGAAATATCTCCTCTATAAATAAAACAAGTGATTGATTCGATTCATTCGTCAATAAACGTTTAATCTTCATTAGAGCAATACCCGTGCAAAAGGTGGAGAGTATCCTTAAAATTATCACTCCATACCTCTGCTTTCAGCTGTAAGTTTCGCTTCTCTAATAAACTAGCAGATTGAGCATAGCTGGCACTCAAAGCCTTGATGAATGCCATTATCACAGCATGAGGATGCTCTGGTCCTGTGGGAAGCTGCATGCCCGCTGAGGAAAACTCTTGTCGGAACTTTGGCAGTGCTAAAACTAACCTGCAACAATGCGATACACCGATGTTATGACATGAAATCCTCAAACCACACTATCAAAGTAGTAGCATCAGAGAAAATCAGTTGTTATCCTGCTACACAAGTTTCCACAAAATCCTTAAAAACCTGCAGGCTGAGCTCTGCGAGTTCCCTTAGTCTATATATTTTACAATAGTGTAGTTATAGTAACTTACTACAGTAAAACTCGCATAAGTCGTCATGGAAGTCAAAGTACCGATTTGCTCTCATAGTAAATCCATTGGAATAGCCCCGCCTAAGTTGTCATTATGTACAAGTCGTCGCCCTCAGACAGGTCCCATGTAATACAAACAACAGTAATTTCCCATCTGTAAGTCGTCATCAGAAATGCCGATAGTGCAGTGTACGGTCTAGGGAATGTACGAGCTGGCTGTCGCAGATATGCGCCAACGTGTAATCAACAGCAGGTGTTACAGATAGCCAGCGTGTGCCGCGCGCTTGCCGCTAGTGCGTACGATGTATGTGCGTTATGGCCAGCAGCGGTGTCGATGGATGTACATTAAATTGTCTATGTTTATGTTGTATTTTTTATGTTTTTGTCCACATCTATTGTTTCATGTCTACTATGTATGTGACACAAACTGACGTCGTGTGTGGAGCATGTTTATGACTGCGTAGGGGTGACGGGTGCCTGGGAGGGGAGCCCTACATATAAGTCGACAAAATGACGACTTAAGCGTATGTCGTCATTTTCGTAAGTCGGCGCAAATATGCTGGTCCCAAGTGTCGACTTATGCGAGTTTTACTGTATACATATAATAGTTACTATACCGTAAACAAGTTACAAAGTATTAGTGTAGTTTATTTAGTGTTTTCTTCTGTTCTCTCCCAAGTAAATTATCCCCAGAACAAAGGGAAGGCAACAGTGTTACATCACAGATTACTATTAGCAAGAGCATATTAATTAGTGTATAATATATAGAAACTTATATGTGCTCGTGATACCACTGATGTACTATCAAGTCATCCAACTCTACATTACTGTGCAAGTTGCTGGAGATGCTCTGTGCTGCTCATGGAAGCATTCTGCAATGACGTTTGCACACAGCAACGGAACAGCGTCTGAATTATGCGGGCCTCCACGTCACTCAGTTGCTCCAATTCCTGGTTGTTAGACATCTGCCAAAGAAAGCTTGTGCTCACACTGCACAAAGCAACACGTACAGTTAACGTAATTAGAGAAGAGCAGGTAATGGTAACGATTGAAGTTACGTATGTAATCTTAGATTTGTGATGTTTCCGATGTCCCTAATTTATTGTCTACAACAATAATTAATCATGCTGATTTTTTTTACCTGGCAGACACACTTTCATCGAAGCCAAAATACTCGAGGCACGTTAAATAGGTTTCATGCACACCAGTGCTACCCTCTGGTGGTAGATGGCGAGCCAGTCTTGTAAATGACACTGCAAGGTTGGTAAGCTGGGACGATGGGGTCAGTGTCATCACGTGAGATTTCACAAATGGAAAAACATTTTTCCACCATGCTGATGCAGACACTGAAATTATCAAAATGTAACAATTTTCCATTGATTCTAAAATGAGACAATATTAGGAACAACTGACTTTGTCCTACATGCACTAGTGCATACACAATCTAATAATGATTTAAATTAAAATCACAATTTTAGAATGGGAATGCACAGTACTACTCAAATGAATATCAGCTAAAATACAGCAAAAACATTTACCTTCATCAGCTGACGTTATTGGAGTCTGCATTATACGATGGCAAAAGCTAGAAATCACAGAAAATAAAGAGTAATACATTTAACACTAAACACATTATTTCCCTCTGTTACTAACTGAAACAATTGTTTCATATTATCACAAGAAAGAATACTGATCAATGAATTTTTTTTCAGATGGCCTCTGTCTAATTGGCAACATTGACTAGTGTTGTCAATCAGTTGTAATTTCGTAATCGATCATCGGTTGGACACAAGTAACCGATGATCGGTTACAATCGGTTACTCGGGGTGTTGAATGCCTGCGTGTGCGTAACGTCGTGTGCATGTATGTGCTTGTTTAGCCCTGTTTACTGTTTGTTTTGCACTGTTTACTACTGTGTGTATAATACATGTATGTTAATAAAGGATAACTTGTATAGTAGCGATGATCTCTGATTCTCATTACTTTTCCAAGTTTTCTTGTTCAAGTTTTATATTTATTTCGAATTTTTTTTTTTATTTCGATGAAATTGATTATGGATTTTGATAACCAAGCGCTTGGTTCGAGCCACTGTTCAACCGATGATCGTGACATCACTAACATTGACCCCTGAGTAATTTTCCCATGACTTCACAGAATAATAATGCTAGTTGCAATGAAAGTGTCAATGACACTGTAGCTCACCACAAAAAAGGACACAAATGAGTGAGTAAGAAGAAGTCAGTTTTAATTGAGCAACCATCGACGTACATTATAGAAACGATTGCCATCTGTATATCGCAATAATAATTTATAAACCAAAATGAATCACAATTTGTGACCGTAGATGGCGCCATACCCGCTTTGTAGCGATGGCGCTTGAAATAAATAGGTTATGCTGCGTTCCGACATGTTTTGTAAAACTTTACTCTAATATAGACGTTTTATCGGCAGGGTGGAGAGGAAATACCAATTTTGCATTAAAGATATTGTCAATGAAATCTTGTAAAACGAACCAGACGAGTGTGACAACCACAGACTGTTTGTGTCTATATAATATGCTAATATAATTGCCAAACCCTACCTAATTTGCATAATTTTTTTTTAAATATCAAAACCCCTAGCCCTTATTCATTCACATACCAAAAATGAGCAAAATCCGTTGAACCTGAACTGACTAATGGCATATCCCATTTTTGCCAAAAATTACCGTGGCTCGAAAGTACGTCGACTGGCGTGCTTCAAAATAGGACGTTTAATATGGGAACATAGCAGTAACAACTATACCCAATTTCAAAAATGTGGCCAAACGGTCCTGAGTTATCGTTGACCGTAGCGAAATGTTGACGGACGAACGTACGACGGACGACCGCCATGGCAATAGCTCAACTTGACGATGTCAAGGTGAGCTAATAAAATCAACTGATGCTTTCTCGTGACGTGGAAACCAAGTCTTTTGTAAGAACTTCTCAACGATGCAATAACAGTAATAATCTCACCTGTCAATAGCTTGTGTCAGCACAAGCATACCTTCCTGAGTTCCTGGTCACGGCCAGCAGCTAAACACCATCTTGAAGCCTTCACCTGCACAGAGACAAATCTAAAACAACTGACAATGCCTCCCATCTCAAATAATCTGCATAAAGTAATACATTGAAGAATTGAGCCACTACTACAATGCATAGTCAGAAAAGCATAAGGCACAATAACAACATTCACAAAACATTGATCCAAATAGGCGCATTAGGTAGACTGTAATCATATACTAGTAAACGAACCAGTGCCTAAAAAAGTACAGTACAGTACACTACAGAGAAAGTACGTTTCTCCATGGAAAAGTCTTCAGTACATGTATTTGTATTTGAATTACATACAATACATTTAAATAATAATAATAATAATAATAATAATCATGTGGCCTAATATCGAGGTTAGTTTTCTTGTACCTATCATGTGCAGGATGCACAACTCGCAACTCCTCTATTCCTTCCAGGTAAACTGCAATCTGGTTGTACCACTGGTGGCGTCGGCTATCACTGCTTGCTACACTTATCTCTCTAAAACGAGAAGATCACAAAGTTTACCAGATTCTTTCCAGTTGGTTAGATTACATGGTGGCCTAATACTAAGTGAGTTGATAACATTCACGTGACAAGGAAGACTAAAGTCATTTTATACCCGATAGTAACAGAAGACATTAACGATCAAACTGTAATAGAAACAGAGAAAAGACGTTTTTTACCGTTCATAGCCATGCGCATTATCAGGATCAGGGAGGTAACTCACTTTCTGACGTGACATATTAGTGATGTGAAAAAGTTGGTGGGTTTACATCATATTCCTAAGTAATAAGTGCAACTGAATTTACCTGCAGGCAGCTGTAAAATACAATGACAGCCTGTGTGCTAGGCTAGAGGCATCTGTTTCTTCTCTTCATTGATAAGACCAGAGCACAAAGCATCCTCTGATCACCAGGCTGCTAACCGATTTCTCAGTTAATGGACCAACCATATCAAGCAAGTCAACTATCCTAGATGTCTGAAACATATTTACGATAAAGTAGGTGAGATGTTACAGAAAGCTACCACCGAGAGATTGCACATATTATTATGCACAAACATGGCTAACGAAGTAAACAATACGTCTTATAAACTCACAACGTCCTCTGTGTCAGTCACCAGGGCAAGAGTAAGGAAGAGATTCAACAAATTGCACCAGCCTGCCTCGGTCAACTCCAACATCATACGATGATGAAATTTGGAATAAATTCTGTAACAGACAATTACAGTTTAGTCGAATACTTATCCCACAATATTATTATTAATATCAGGAGTAGATAATAGGGAAGGAGTGTGACTTCAATAGACAAGGAAATTCGTCATTTACTAGCCTTAGAATACCTACGATTTACTATGCGTACCAACTTGACTCAAATCGTTCACCAGTACATATCGCTTAGCATCGTGCGAAATTGTTTCCTCATATATAACCCACGCCTGCGATCCGAGATACAGACTAAAACGTACGACACGATTATCCATTCTGTTGCCATCAATCCGAACGTATTGTCTGCCTGACTTGAAACAAAAGGCAGCTACTAACGCTCGGCGATGCGATGTGGCTCGCTGGGAGATTGGACATCCTGTGGAATCCTCATGTCCTCAGAAAATGTCTGATATCTGATCTTTCCCCCACTGCCCTTTGCCCTGTAACCTCCAATTTTACACTGGTGATGGGTTTCCTCCCCAATCACACTATACATCGAATATTAAGACGTAGGTCGAGCCATTGAGATTTGTGCCGAATTCCGTATTTCCTCCTATACCTTAAGTTAAGGGGGAAATATTCACATTGACACATCTTGACCTTTGACACTTGACCCCAAAATTCGACATCCCGGGTCCTTTTCGCGATCCCCCCCCCCCGACATCTCGAATATCAAGACCGTACGTCCGGGCGTGAAGATTTGTGCCAACTGTTGACGCACAGACGGACGCACGGACGGACGCATGACGGATGGACAATCATGCGATTCTACAAGCTGCATCTGACTTCGTCAGCTGATACCCAGGGGCAAGACAGGTTTACCAGAACCGGGATGCTATAAAAGGTTGTTTGGTATCAACGTGTCAGGGGACCTCCCTGAACACACTTCCAGGTGGACAACCTTGAAAATATGCTGCTGAAAAAAAAATGGCGGCAATTTTTCAAAATGGCCACCGTGTGTAAACTAATGATGATCAATTTTTAAGATATTGTTTGAATAGAACTTGCTTTCACCATGTGTGTGGTATCATATTAAAAGGGAATTAAATTCTCTACAAATGATACCACATTTCATGGGCTTAGTGATGATTTTTAATAACAATTTGGGCAAAAAATGTGATTTTTTACCATTTTTTTTCAAAAATGGATTATTGCACACAAAATTCATTATTTTCCATATTTCAAACGTCCTTTTGAGTAATGAATTGGAACTTTTCAGAAAACTGCCCATATGTATGGTTAATATTGTCGCAAAAGCTCAGTTTATTGCTTTTCTAACAATAAAGTTATATTATTCCAAAGTAACATTTTGATATTAACTAAAAACAGCATTTTGTACATTATAGTGGTATGACGTGTCATGAAAATAGCTCCCGTAGGATTTTTGTGCTCAAATATATTTTTTGCTTATATCGGGTTGATTTAGGGTTAAACTATCAGAAAATGGCAGGGTTCAAATTTAATTTAGTTTTAATTTTAGTTTAATTTAATTTTATATAGTAATTAATGTTCCTTCTCATAATTCTAAAGCTGAGCATCAAAAAAACAACACAAATAATAAACGTTTACTGTCATTTTATATTGTGAACAGAATAATGGGACAGAATGACAAATATACTTGGACACTAATACCTGTCACTGTGTGTTAGTTAATTGTCAACTGCTCCAAGTCACTGCTTTCACTGCTTTCAAATATTGCAGTGTACTGAACACGGCTGCACTTGGTTGCGGATCCCTGGCAGCAACATCCAATGTAACATTGGACAATAGCCTTCGCAGCAGGAACAGTTTCGTTGCACCCTCTGGTGCAGCCACCGCGATGGCCTTTGTCATTGTCTGCGGCCAGGCTGGTTGAGTTGAAGGGACTGGGACAAGTTTCCCCATCCTGCAGAGCCCAGCCATACTCCTCAATGGGGAAGCTCTGGCCTGCCAATGTGTGCACTCTTCGTCTATGAAAGTTGCTAGAGCTGCACGTCGTAGTGTTGTCAAGAATGCATCTTCTGTTGGTGGCTAGCAGCTTCAGCAGAGTTGACCTGTTATTCAGGAATTTGTAGACCCTCAGTTTTCCATGATCACACTCCTCGAAGTCATCAGCTTTGTTAGAGTACACAGTGATGACAAGCTTGCGTGCCTGGTCGATGAGTTCCAATGTGATGTCTGGCTGACCTTGCTCGCCAAAGTCTTCAAGTTTAGATATGTTCCTGTAGTCTTGCTACTGCTTATCCAGGTCTTCCTTACCAGTGAAGAAAGGATAGCTTGTTGTGTCTCTTCCACTCAGACTGAGGATAGATGGTAGTGCACGACACTCGGAAGGTCCAGTGCCACAGCCATTTGGTGTATGGGTAGGTAGTTCCCGTGGCGTTCTCACCCACAGTTCATGGAAGATCTTTCAGAATAGTGGTGGCATAGTAGACACAGATGATGATAATATCCGTGTCATTGCGTGGATGATCACTCTCTCAACATCTTCATTCTGAACGCTGTATATAGCATGACTTGTACGCAGCCTCCTGCTGTGTAGACTCCAAAGCAGTGACGTCCAGTTGGCGGACCCTTTGGTGAGGCGCAGCACTCAGGGTTTCTTTCTTGAATCCTCTGTTTAGGTAAAGGCGAGTTGAACCGAGTGCTGGATCTAGCTGTTCACTCTGGTCGCACGTCTCACACAGGAAAGTCAGCTTTGTTAGCTGATACTTGAGAAGAATTCTGGGTCTGGGGCTCGGTACTGCTCAATGACTTCAACACCTTTAGCTGGTCTGGATCGGCCGTACCTGTGCTGCTGCTCTGCTGATTTTGAAGCTTTGCTTCACTGTATCGGTCACAGCAGAAATGTATGATCCCTGTGCCAGCGAGAACATTTTCAGAAGCTAGTGCTTGTAGCGATCAGCAATGGCTGCTGAATGTTTTTATCTTTCTTGAATAACCAGTGGCGTATGGCATGCATTGCGTCAACCACCACTGCTGTCTTCAGGTTTCCTTGTGGCAGATCAGACAACACTGGTCACTTGAGTCTCCTCCTTCAGGTTCTTCACGAGACTAGCCGTTGTGTCTGCAGCCTCATGCTTCCACCTTCATTGAATAAAGACGGGGCATCTTACTACAACTCATGGTTGCCAATAAGTTGACATGTTGACATCTCCACCACTGGCCATGATCTGTGTTAATGCGAAGAAGGGCAGAGCCTTACTTCATCCTCTGTGTGCTGCACTGTTCCTTGTCGACTTCTTTGCGCTTGGAATTTGCGTGTGAAGGTTTTCAACCTCACGATGGACGTCTTTCTTTGATCACTGATATGGAACTGGACAATGCCTTCAGACCAAGTTCCTTGCACACCGATGAGGTGTTCCTGGACTGCTGCCTCTGCACGTCTGCCCCGTTGATAGATTAACCAGGGATGGCATTGTTGCTGAGAATGGGTTGGTCTCCATGGCTGCTATCACTTTCCTGGACCATCTCTGCATCCTTGCCACTAGGGTTGTCGATATTAGTTCAATAAAGTGTAGTTTATAGATGGAAGAAACAGTTGATTTGCGAGGCGGTACCCAGTGGGCAAGACTCCTCAAGAATCTCTGGTAATCGCTCCAATGTAGACGTCTGCGAGGGTATTGACGAGGTTCGTTTCCACACTGATAATTTCCTTACGATTTTCCATGTATATACTGTAATATTAAATGTACTGAACCAAAATATACCTTAACGGCTCATAGACTGTTGATATGTAAGAAAATGTGTGACAAGTAAAATCAAAATTCGGACAAGGAAAGATTGCTCTTGTTGCAGACAGGACAACCAGAGCTGACTAGTCGATCCATAACCGGTAGTCTGTGATAGCACTTAAGAGTGCCCTTATCTCTTGTCATGACATCTGATCGCAAAAATGACTGCATCAGTTGTCTTCCCATGCCTGCAAACCTATAGAAAGAGGTACTATATGACCAAGTTTATCACTGCCATGATAATGACATTGAATTAACGAAAGACCGTAACCGAAGTCCGATAATGGCCACTTCGGTCACTTTGAAATTGTGATAAATGACTCAGCATCATCCCAAAACCCCTGAAATGACGCCAGGATCGTGATAATAGGTTCATTATTAGCAGAAACAGGCCCGGGGTCAGTCAGGGGGTCATGGGAAAGAAAAGCCCCTCCCCCGGGGGGTCGAGGGGTCGGAAAATTTGATCCCCACCATTTTCTGATAGTTTGAAACTAAATCAACTCAATAAAGCAAAAAAATCAATTTTAGCAAAAAAATCCTACGGGAGCTATTTTCATGACACGCCATACCCCACTATAATGTACAAAATGCTGTTTTTAGTTAATATCAAAATGTTAACTTTTGAGGCAATATAACTTTATTTGTTACAAAAGCAATGAACTTGAGCTTTTGCGACAATATTGACCATACATATGGGTAGTTTTCTGAAAAGTTTCAATTCATATACACAAAGGATTTTGAAATATGGAGAAAAAATGTATTTTCGTGCAATTCATATTTTGGGAAAAAATGGTAAAAAATCTCATTTTTGGCCCAAAATTGTCATTAAAATCATCGCCAAGCCCATGAAATGTGGTATCATCTTGTAGAGAATTTAATTCCCTTTAATATGATACCACACAGACCAAAACAAAAAAAAAAAATAAAAAAAAGAAAATGAAAAAATTGTGAAAGCAAGTTCTATTCAAACGATATCTTAAAAATTGATCATCATTAGTTACACACGGTGGCCATTTTGAAAAATGGCCGCCATTTTTTTTCAGCAGCATATTTTCAAGGTTGTCCACCTGGAAGTTGTTCAGGGAGGTCCCCTGAACACGTTGATACCAAACAATCTTTTATAGCATCCCGGTTCTGGTTTACCCGAAAAATGGGGTTTTGCCCCCTGGGTATGAGCTAAAAATTCTGATGAACTGTTACTCTAGTTGTTGATCGACTTACATAGGTATTGGCGGATACTGGTTTTACATTGAGAAAATGCTTATAAATCACTCATAGCATTATAATAGAAACAGGCCTACCTGCTTTTCAATTTTACCCAGGTTTCTTTTCCAGCTCTTTGCAATTGAAAAGCCATTAATGTTAGGAACATTTGGAATGAGCTGCCACTGTTCTGGCTGCTGAAACAATAAGCAGAATGACATTATGAATACGCAATATGAATACAGAACTAAAATCGTCAAAAATCTGTATTAAATACTGCCACAACCAACATGCCAGGTAGCATAATTCTAGATATTACATGGCTTATATTAAAAGGTAGCACTTCAGTAATTTAATAGTTTAATGTGGTCAGTTATTTGAAAGAAGCATATAGCAACTTGTGAAAGGTCTTTGCTCACACTGATGAGGAGGCATGTATTCTTTGCTTTACAACTTTTAGCCAGTCTGGAATAGAAGTGTATATTGTGGCCATCTCATCCAAACCAATGCTAAAGGAATCATTCTGCAAGACAAATAGAAAAACGAACAAATTAGGCATATATTATCAGTCTCAATACTTATATGTTTTCAAATTATTACACGAGTTCTGGTTGAAACACTGCTATGAGAGAGCCAATTAAACAGGTTAAATTATCAAAGTATTAAACATAAAAATTATCACAGAACACAACTTGATTTGCATTTAGCTAAGAACCACGTCATTTAGCACGTACAAAAGTACTATGATATACACAGTTAGAGATCAATATTAATCAATCAATAAGACAGCTAGGAACCACTTGTCGCTTGCTGATCGTACCAGTCGCTTTGAGAAGTGTTCCCAGAGTAGCATCACCGCCTGAGTGTTTGGTTCCCACAGTTTCTCCGCCTCGATTAACTCAATGACAACGGCCCGAAAAGACTTCTCTGTGAGTTTTGCAGACAATGCCGCTCTGAGTAAGGTCTCTAGGGTATGATGGTTGCTTCTAACCTGATCCAAAGCACAAACACGTTACCTGCATTACACGGAAAATGTTAAATATGGCAATAATTAGTTCATCATTAGACCTGAAGACGTCAAGACTTAAAATTTTCTTGAAAATTGGATTTATGAACCCATTGGCATATTAACCAATATATCATTTTGACGCTACATTAAAATCTGGCACCATACATACAGTTTTCAAAATGAGGTGCAAATTTTCATTAAAACACCTAAGGACTGTTTTAAATCCATTTAATTGTAATTTCATGACCAACCTGTATCGTGGTACCACTCTGTGGCAGATGTCTGTACAAGCTCCCTGACTGATGCAGGAGCCAGATTCCAAGATGAATGACATCTCCACTTGAAGCTATATCTATGGCTCTCATATGTACGATATCTAATTCTGTATAAAAGAAACATATTCAGAGGAATGATGGAAGTATGCTCTATCAAAAAAACTATGTGTATCATTTTGACAAATGTTAGACTTAACATAGAATTTTGTTAATTCTTTGCCCTAAATATTATATACCTAAGCCACCATCTGGCCCTGTCTCTGGCTGACTGTCTCTGTCACTAATCAGTGTCTCCACAATCCGGTGGAACCTCATCCAGAAGAACTAAATGCAGAAGAAAGAGAACTGTTTCGCTGAACATCATAAACATTTTTTTTTTTTTAACACATTACGACCGATCTACATTTTCTGAAACAAAACTAAAATAAACAAACCGCATTTCACAGCTCGTAGAACAATTTTTCTCAGAAAATGTCTTCAAAAGTCAACTCACATCTTATAAGCTATGGATCGGTGTAGCGGATATTATTATAGCATAATTTTCTTAGCTACAGTATAGTTTATTCTATACCTCGACAGAATATCCTACAGTATATATTACAACTGAGAGCTGATAGATTGGACATCGACGCAACACTGGGCGGGCT